GAGCGTATAAATTAGTTTCCAATACATTATATTATATTGTTATGATATATATATATTATATATATTATATATTTAAAATCAAAAATGTACCTTAAAAGTTACTGAGGTTGCCTATATTAGGTCCCTTAAATACACATGTGTCTCCTCAAATACTAATTTATAACACTTATATATTATAATATATGTATTATAGACATATAGATATAGTAAAAGTATAGGTATTGTATAATACAATATATTCCAATTACTAGGTATTTTTATTATATATTTATGTATCAGCTTTAATAAATCTTAATTTATTATAGGCACACTAGTTCACAAATTTGAAATTAGTAATTACTAATAAAAAGTGGGAAAGTACCTATTTAACCGCTCTACTGAACCCATATTGGGTATCTACACTATAGGTGTCTGGTGTCACTCGTTATTGGGTAAGTAAATGTTATAAATGTGTTAAATTTTTACTTAATGGTATATCATTGTATACGACGAACGATATACGACCTATATGGCTGACAAAGTGACAACTAAATATATTTTATTATATGTTTATATTGTTATTATAGGTAGTAATTTATTTGTTTATAAAAAACAGTAAGGCGTTATACGGTACAAATAAGCGAAATTATCTTAAAATCAGTTTAAATATTTTGTAAATGTTATTGAGTATGGAAAATAATAACTTAAGAAATAATGAAATGTTTCAAGTTTTTACGGTTAATGCCCTTTGAATTAGGTAAATTGAAGAAAAAATTAAAATTGTGTTTTGTGTTCCTATAAATATCTATGGTAAATCGTGATTTCACGAGTAGGTATATTACAAGTAATATCCATAATATTTTTTAATTACAACAAAATTATTAAAATCGTTATTTTTGTTTTGCTATTTAACTTTGTCATCATTTTAACAATTTAACTTAAAATTTCTATAAGCAAAAAAAAACTGTGTTTATAATTGTAGATATTTTTTAGATTTTCTGATTTAAGTGTGAATTATGAACTAGGTAGGTACTTATGATTAACCTTATTTTACATTTTCATTCTTATGGCTTATTAACTGTAAAAATTAAACATATTATTAACTTTTAACTACAAAACTATTTGCAGATATTCGTGAATTTTACAAAATTTGCATGTTTCTTTAATTTTTTTAAATACTGAATTTTAAAAGTGAAATGCACTTATGAAATATGAGGAGTTTTGAAAAAAATTTGAATATTGAAAAGTTAACGAGTAGCTCTAAAATTGTAAAAATTGTACAGGTGGAATTTACCTTTAAAAGAGTATGTATAGTTTGTGGAATTTTCAATCTATAATAATTTGTGTAACGATGTGAAACCAGTTTAGTATTAGTAATTAGGAACACTGCCAATTAATACCTATACATGTAATATATGTATGAACATAGAACAATATACATAAGTATACCCGTAGACATAGGTCTGTACTACTATACGTAACTATTGTGTATTAAATACAATAAGACTAACTATAGATCGTAAATCATTTAGTTATACAAACATTTAAAATGTAAACATTCGATAGGATATATTTTATACATATTCCAGTAATAATAGTTAAAAATTGGTTGATTACTTAAAAAGTCATTAAATTATAATATTATGTACGTCGTGTCTGTGCGGAGTACCCGTTGAAATTAAATAATCCGACATATTAAATTTCCGTTAGTGACTACAAAAAGCCAAACAAGATACACCGGAAATGTCCAATTTCAGTACCAAGCATAATATAGAATACAGATCATCCGTAAAGTTCAATTTATATGTACGTAAGGAAGTATGTCAATTATGCAACTAAATCATAAACAAAGTCTACCTAGATATTCGCGTATGTCTAATTGAAAAAAAAATATTTACCTCCAATATTTAGTTTGAGAGCAGTTGAGTACCTATACCAATATAAAATTTCACTCTCTTTTTACGCTGCAGCATGCCAGTATCTATACTAATGTTATGGATGTAGACCGACTAAAACCCTAAGGGGAGGAAGTTCACCGACGACTGGTAGTCTAATGATTTAAAATACCCGTCGGGTACCTACTCGGATCTTCAAAGATTTCTTTAAACGGCTTGTAATTAATAATCAATACTCTCATGTTCGTAAAGCCGTTTCTAATAATATTGTGCTCTATAATTATTTCGAGTGTGTTTTTTTTTTTTAGTTGTTAGTTATTGAGTTACTAATTTATAGTAAGCACATTATGCTGTATAATATTTTATATTGTGCGAATGATTTTCATATATATTTTCGATTTTGAATTAATAGCAAATGACCTATATTTTATTGGTGCTTTGACAATTTATAATAGTTATATAAAGTTAAGTTTTAAATAATTTGTAGTTACTAATTAGTAACACATTTCTTCAAATAACCCATAAATAGTAGGAAATCACATATTTTTAAACGCACAAGGCACAATAAATTATCTTTTGAATATATATTTGTTATTGAATCAAAAAATATTTTCTGTTAAGGCTAATTTTTTACTAACTTAATAAAATAATTTTGATTTGAAAATATTCCAATTAATTTCTAAAAACTGTTGAAAGCAGAATAATTTTTCATGAATTTCGTTAAAAGACATTATTAATATTTAATTATTTATGTTAACATACCCAAAACATACCAATTCAAAAAGCATTATAGTGATCAAATTAAACGTTCTAAGAATTTGAACTTTTTTAATAATAATAATTTGTATTTAAAAATTTATAGATTTATCTACTTTAAGAAATTTGGACTATTTGTATAAAAAATAAAAAATATGGCGTGGCACTAATAAACAACACGTGATTTTTAGTTATTATTTCAAATCTCATAAATAGACATTTTATAAAACAATTATTATGTACAAACAATAATTTTCTTATTAATTGATATTTGTCTAAAATTTAAAAATTAATTTTATAAACTGTTAAATTATATTGTAACTGTCGAATGTCAAATGGCCGTATACAAATTATCCACAGCTCATTTAGCTGTCGGTAAAATAAATACTAAATAGCGTATGTCCAAACACTAAACGGAAATTTGGTGATTAGCACGTGTGTTGTGAATTTCTGGTGAAACCATGAATACTAAGTAGTCTTCATATCATATAGTCGTATTCATATACAATATAGACGTTCAGAAACAAAAGAAAGTTTTATTATAATTTTATTACTTCAGAGTTGAGACTTCCCTTTATTAGAAGTTAATTTTACCAGAAAAAGTGCACAATATACTAAAACAGACTACAAATAGTCCTGTTGGTCCTTTTAAGGACATCGATGTTTGAAGGATCGACACAAAGGGGGAAAGTTTCTAGACTTGATACCATTACGGTACCATTCGTCGGTGCATTGTTGTCACAACGGTTGTTTGTCAATAGACCTATATAATATATTTAATATATCCAACCACGGTATAAGTAATGTACAGGAAAAAGTAGCAGAAAAAATATCAATGTGACGACCAATTGACCTCTTTGGCTATCTTGCTTTGTGTTTCTTAGTCGTTATGTAGAAATTAACATCATTCGGTTAACGAACTCAATATTTACGACAGATTAATTATTACTTAGACGACTATTAGACGTCTGAAGTGTCGATAAAAATAAGCGTTACATTTTATACCTTAATCTGCCAAATAACAACACATTTAATAAAAACAAAAGTTAAATGTCATTTGTTAATCTATTTCGAATTCCACATGATAAGGGTTGATATATATACTGTGTTGCAAGATCATACACTTAAAGTTTACATACTATGTATTTTAAACATATATATTTTATGATAAATCTATTTCAGTATAATATAAAATGTAGACATTTTTCATTTGAGAAAACTTTATATTTTAAAACAAACATAATATGCAATATTGAAGAAGGTAGGTAGGTAATTAATTTATCACTGTGATGTAGTGGTTATTAAGAGCTGGATTATTTGTATAATAGATTCTATAAACTTTTTTCAAATTTAATTTACCCACATGAAAAAAATCACTATTATTTAAGTATATTAAGTATAAAATAAATATAATTTAATCAATGGATTGAATGCGACTATATCAATTTTTTTTTATCTGATCAATATAACTATTTTATTATTTATAATATAAATATAAAAATATATTATAGAATGAATTCTAAAATCACTTAATTTATGTAAAATAATATTATTATTTAACATAATTGTACATCTATATGCATTTATGTATTGTGTTTATATAATATTTCACCAACGTATATTTTTATTGATTAAAAAGTATTTTAAATTCTATTCATTTATATCGCATTTATATTGCATCTAATTATTAATTTATTCTTATATTGTTTGTTTTCAAAACGTAATAGACACTAAAATCAACTACAGACTAAGAGTTTAGTATTAGTGTCTATATAGATGCATAAAATTATTGATTATTGAAATTGTCTATACCTATGGCCTATAAACTATATTTCTATAATAATATCATTTTATTAATAAACAATGAATTTATATAAATATACCTCATACGCCTATATACAATATTAAACGTATTTTTTAAATTATCTTTTTTGTTTAACAATATTATACGCTTTACATGTACCTGCCTTATTTTGCAGTATCAATTAAGTTGAAATTCATAATTTGAAATATTAAACTATACTCACAGTTAATAATCTAGTTGAGTACCAACATTTTCAATTTGTACAAATGGTACTTAAACAATTATTTCAGCCAACTACACGTACCAACGCGCGTTTCGCGTGCTGCGTATTATACCTGTGTTTTGGAAGTCCGTTCAAAATAATAATCGATCAATATTTTAAATTTAATATGATTTTAACTATCCAGTTAAGCATATGAATTATTGATACGATTTTGAAAAAAACGATACGATCGCGTTATGTTTACGATAAAAGTTTATTGGCGCGTGCGCACGTTGAACGTATATCTAATGCAACCCACTTTCATGATAAGTCCTACCGGCTTAAACGGACGGTATGTTAGTTACTACAGACAGTGTGTTGAAGACATTCGTATTCTAAACACAATTCTTATTGAAGACTTTAAATAATTCATAATCATATTATTTATTTTTGATTCAAAGCTAAATAGTGTTAATTATATCTACGAATATAAATTATATTATACTAACGGTTTTTTTAACTTTTTAATTTTATAATATAATTTATTAAATGTTTTAAACATTTTTTTTTTTTTACAAACGAGTAAATGTTGTTGACAAATTCCATACAATCATCTTAGAGGTAACAATACAACTATTACAAATATAATAATTATTAGTTATTATTTATCATGATTTATTTTATGACCCAATGTATATGCATTGTGGTAGCTAAAAGTAGGTAAACAGTTACATATTAATTTTAGTTAATATACTTTTATATTATAAACTATTAACTATTTTATTGAAAATTAAAAAATGTTTTAAAAAAACTGTTTAATAGTGTAAAATATATCACATAGATAAACTAACAATAAGATATTACGAATTTTTAATTAATTTTGAGATACCTATTATATTATAGATACATATTATGTATAATATCAAAATCCACGTATTTTGTATTCTATAGTTTATGCATTGATTATTATTATTTTATTAGGTAGTTTAATTATTATAATAATTACGTTTTGTTAAAAAATTTAAATATTACACATTTTTGATAATGGTAGATATAGTTACAATGCTACATATAAAATTTGATCATTAATTTAAATTGATATAGGTACCTATAAAGCATAACTGAATGGCCTGACAAATGAAATAACTTTTGTTCTAATCAATATTTAAACATTTTTTTATGTTTATAATTTACAGTTGCTTTTGCAACACAGTATACAAATTTTAATTTTTAATTTTTTAATAGTAAAAATAATAAAAAATTTTAATTTAATTATATTTTTTCTGGAAAAATTCAAATATAGTCAAATTGTATAATCTAATTTTTTTTAAAAATGATAGATAATGGTAAAAATGTTAATTTAGGTATGTAAAATAGTTTATTTTTTGCGTTTTTAAGAAAATCGAATAAATCAATTCGAAACATTTTAACTTTTTTAGAAATAATCCTTTTGGGAAATTCAGATACAAGTAAATCTTAAATAATTTATAATACATCTATAATTTTCATACGTTTAACTAGCATCAATTATTGTTTATCAGGTCATTCTGTTATACCCTATATGGTTCATATTTAAATTTTACAACAATTGTCTACTACAAAGAATTTAAATTCATTAAATATTAAAATTGCTTTTATATTTTAAGATACAACTGAAGAAAAATTAAATAATACTATGTATAAAATAGGTACATACATTATCTACGTTATTAAAATATTCCATTCGATTAAAAAAGTAATATTTGGTTTGTAAATTATTTTTCTATCGTAGACTATAAAACATATTATGAAGTTAGAAGAAACGTCATACTTTTTTACTTGGGATATAATAATATTTCATTTACGTTTAGGCAAAGAAGCAGTCATCGATTTACTGAAAAAGAGAGTTATGTTTTGTTTAGTTTTTTCCAGATTAAATTAAGTAATATAAATAAATACGATTGTTAAATTGTTTACTTAAAGCGTTATTCAATGACATAACGACCTACATTTATTATAATAAAACGTTGTTAAAAAGATACATCGTTGAGCTTTTAGAATTAAACACTTCCGAGGTAATACCGATAAGCTTGCATTATATTTACGTTCAACGCGTAGGACGTAGGTACACAAAAAAAGTTATCATAGCATTACTCTTTAGGTCATGTGTTAAATATATCAAATTTTTATAGTATAATAGTATTACTGCGTGCTTGAACCGTTCATTTATACATACAGCTATATTAAAAGTGTTGTTTATAGTTTTATACAAACAACGATTTAATTACCTATGTTATTACAATGATAAAAGTAGAATGAAGTAATTTATTAACTACCTACTTATTTGTAGCACATTGAACCAAATTCAATTACTTTATTTTTACTAATCATGAATAAAAATGTGAGAAATATTTTTTTTGGAATTTGAACATGTGTTACATTTCCAGTATATGTCATAGAATTGCCGCTTAATAATTAAATCACCTGACTGGTATAATTCTGGTTCCGTAAAAACACATACCTATATTACCTATATCTGCAATTATCCAATTATAGTCATTGGTAGTATATAGTATTGGTTCTTACTATATAATAAACTCATTCATTATTATACAATATATATAAGTGTATTATCATACTAATTACATAGGTATAGTAGGTATACGCAAAAGAAAATTATATGAATAACGATAATGTTAGCAGGTACCTATTTATAATTATTCTTCCCAGTTTAATCTGCTTAATCCATTATTTCAAGAATATTCTATTATAATAAACACTATATACAGTACACAACCTATTAAATACAATAAAAATAATATAGTCAATGATTTTACAATAGTAGAAGTGAAAGTGTAATTTAATTGGATTAAATATACGATGTATATTGTAAGGTATCTATAATATATGATTAAATTAAATTATATACTTATTAAATGTTCAAATGATTGGTATGTTATTAATATTATTTTTTATCTCACATTCGTAGGGTACACTAGCAATTACTTTTGTTTTAATCCTATTTGTTTCATTTAAACAAAAGTTGAATACCTAAGTAGTATAATATTAGATTCATAGTTTACACAGTTCAATATTCTGATAACTGCAATTATACTGAAGTCTCGATGAAAAGGTGCCCACCTACTTTATTAGACACACCTTAGCTGTCTATATACGGTTAATAAGCTTTCCTTCGAAATAAACTAAATATCTCGAATCCAGTGGAAAACGTAAACCTCGGTGTCCAGAGCATTTAAGACCATTTTAAATGAAAACTAGAAAATTATAAACAGAAAAATTGACTATTGTGTATATTTTTAGAAAGTTCACGCTGCGACGGTAATCGTGTGAAATTCATAGAGTACAAACAATATTTGTCATAAACCACATATGTGTGTATATATATACAAAGCATAGGACACCGGATTTCTTTGTAAGTCAGCCGGCATCAGGTCGAATTCTCTTAGTAGATAGCCGACGTGGACGGGAAGGGGAAAATCATATTAGGTATGAGATGAGCATATATCGACATAATTTTTTAATTGTCCCACAATACGTTTTGATACTATATAATTATTATGGTCGTGTTTCCCGTACGCGTTTCCTCCGAGAAGACGTAACTTTTTTTCTTTTTCATTTCTTTCTCCGGTTAGTACATAGTACTTACATATATATATATATATATATAATTTATAAACATTCATATAATACATATATATATATATATATATTTGTTACACTCTTTAAACCAGTTCCGATATGATATAAATTACGGCAGGATGATGATTATTATAAAAAAGCAAAAGAACTATTTTGATATTAACGAAAACCAGTTTGTCAATTTTGGTCATAATTTTATTTGTATAATATATATATATATATATATATATTATTATATTTATATAAATTTTCATCATTCATCATTGCATTAATATTATATATTTATATAGAAGTATATAGTCATATTTTTTTGAAAAAATCACATTTTTTTTTCGCTGTCACCCAATTATAATTTTAATAGTATTGTCTTATTTGTATAGAATCAGGCTACTATATGTCAGCCATTATGCGGTGTGCAAGTCTAATGGTTTGCGTCTTAGCTCTGGTGACATGTGCCAGCACCGCAGGTATTTTGTACCCACGAGAGTCCGAATCTCGGGAAGTCAAATCGCTGGATGGCATGTGGAATTTCAGACTATCTCTTCCCGACCCCCTCGTCGGTTTCAAGGAACGCTGGTACATGAAAGACCTGAGCAAGGTACGTTTTTAGTTTTAGTTTAATATGAATGAGTATCAAGGTATTATATTATTATTTCAGTTGTTATACTTGTGACATAATTTTCATAAGTTATGTTAAGACATAAGATGGAAATTATTGTGTGTAATATTATAATATTACACTATAATAGGTACCTAAATAAATTTATTTATGTATATTATATTTGTTACCGAATATTATAAGTTGTTATGTTTGCTGTAGAAAATAAATCTAATAAATCAACCTATTATTGAACATTATATTTATAACATTATAATTATGAGATTAAGAATATAAACTAAAGAAATGTGACTTTTCTAAGAAACATTAATAAGAGGCTAGATATTATTACGTTATATATTTATAAGTTAGGTACAAAAATAAATTATAACTGCAACTATAGTTCCTACGCTCTAGACTGTACTTCATAAATCATAATATAAGCAGTAGTGACAGCTTAATATTATTGATTTCTGGAAACATGTTATGTACAAAATCATACGCGTTTCCTAATTGTTCAAATTGATTGATTAGTTTCTGCGTAATAATTTAATATTCTGCTAAAAAAATTCTCAGTTGTTTTTTTTTTAAATATTATTTTGTTTATTTTTCATAATTCACAAGTTCTCCTAGTCTCTTGCATGGAGAATTTTATTATTTATACTAACATTAGTTACATTAAATATTAATTATTATATTATCTGCAGCCCACTGCCTAAAATACCTAATTTTAGTTTTTACGTTTTCTGATTGATTGATAACAGGTTCACGAAAGATTGAAATTTAACATTACCTACATATTCAAAAAATGTATCTTGGTCTATACATTTCCTTAATAGCGGCTTATTAGTATTAATGATAGATTTTTAAATGTAAATATCAACTAATTGAGTAAAATAATTTTAGACTATAATAATACATACATGATTACCTATGTATTTACTCGAAACAAAAACAATCCAATGCTGTATAATGGAATTAGTAAATTGCATTATTGTTTGGGCATTCAGAACTGTACACAACAACACTGTTATATATATGCTATGCCTGCCTACCTAATTGCCATAACACGCTGCGCCTTATGTGCCTGTCTCACGGAATAACGTTAGAAATATAGGTTTATATACATAATATTACAAATTATAATAAACTGATATACTGCGTACCTACTGTATTGCTTGAACGAGACGACGTGCACTTTAGACGTCTCATATAGTCATATATTGTACACCTATATAGTCAAACAAACGCAAGTGGCACACTCGCTGTTTTCCATAGGTACATCGTAAAGATAGTATAGAAAATACATTATGTATATAACATACATTATAGTGTATGTTATATTCTGTGCAGTTCAAATGCTAAAACCAGAAAACGAATTAAAATCAATAAAAATCATGTAGGCATCATACTAGATTATTATTTATTATTTAATCGACAAACCGGGTTCAGGTGTTCTTGTACGTCTAATTGTCATCTATATTACCTACTACGAAAAAGTAATTAATAGGTCTACCTCAAATAATTAAGCTCAATATGGACGATTATATTCCATATCATAAACAAGTGTCCATTGCACGAAAAGTTATTCACATCGTGTAACAAAATATGTAATATTCACGATATGGATGTCCTCTTCTTAATGAAAATAACGATTTTACTAAATGGATGCGTCATTGCGATAACAATTCAAAGACAATATAATATACAGCCGTACTGGATTTATGTATATTTTAATTTGAAGTGTTGTTCATTGGTTATAAATCGTATTTGTAAATTGATATGAAATTTATTAATTAAGTAGGTACGAGACGGGCACACGTGTACAACAACCAACATTTATGTATTACAAATAATGTGTATACATGAAAATGTAATACAGTGGTATTAGTATTAGTCAAGTATGAGCACTTATGAGTTATGACTTATCTTCATCGTTATATAAACATAAATATTAGTTTTATAATTTTTAAAACCTAATTTAGCAGTCTGTAAACATTACACATGATATGTTCAATTCTTTTTTTATTTCTATTTTATCTTGCGACTAAATAAATATTAAAGATATTGATGCACATCAATACATCGTTTAATTTTAAGAATCATAATGATTTTGACAGATATTTTTAGTGATATAGTACATGCCTATACGTACTTGATAGTTGATACCCGGGTATTAGCATCTACCTACGTCCTACAACCTACTTCATTATTTTGTTGAAATGAATTCGTGTAATATGTTTTCATAATCTGTCATACATAGGGTTAGCATTGTACAGTCGTATTATTGGTTAACGATTTAAAGATTTAAATGTCGTTATTTATATGATTAAAGATACAAACCCGTTTAAACAATGCGTGTACACTGCAATTCTGACTTCTCAATAATATGTTTTAACAAATCGTGTGACGAAAGAATGAGAATAGCGATTATACTAAATTTCTACCGTGGAAATAATAGTATTTCGACACGTACCTACAAGCAACATAATTGCATATACATAACGCCTTTTTAGCGTAATTCGATTTTTGTGATTATATTACCCAGTTATTACGCCACTGCTTGCTATTTCCAGATGAGCCAACCGTTATAAAATGTCAAACAGGTGCGGTTAATATTTGTACATAATATTATTTTTGTATAATAAATTTTGTTTGAAATGTCTTCGAGGATATTTTGTGAAATGTAGTATGGGTACCCATATTTAGTATTTTATAACACTCTTGGGGTACCTACCTATATTATAGCAATTTAGAACTCATGTGTTTGCGGCCATGTAAAATATTATATGGTTTATATTATATGATTTATGAATTATGTTTCATAATTGTATTTTAATTTAGACTGGTCCAGTGCTCCAAATGCCGGTGCCCAGTAGTTACAACGACGTGATGGTGGACAAAAAAATCAGAGATCATGTCGGTTTGGTTTGGTACGATAGATCGTTTTTCGCCCCTGAGTCTTGGAGGCAGCAGGGTTATAGAGTTTTCTTAAGATTTGGCAGTGTTAATTACGCAGCTCAAGTAGTAAGTGAAGTATTACTTAATGTATAATACAACAAAATTAATAATGCATGAAGGTATTCCACTATATGTAATATTACTCAGATTCATTCCATATTCGAATTGGTTATAATTTTTAAGCAATTCGTTTTTATTTTACATTTAATGAGTTCACTTTTGACACCTATATATAAAATAGGTCATAACATTTTAAACTTTATATTTTTTATTTGGGACTTTGTAGTTTTGTACTAACACATAACAGTATTAAAATCTCAATTTTATCAACATAGTTATAAATTATTAGACAAGAATATATTATTATTACAACTGCTGTAATATACTAATATTATTTTATTAATAATAACATACTTGTGTTCAACTGTTGAAATATTTTAGTTATATCATGCGGATAGGTGTTTAATATTTATATAATACTTGGGTACCTAAGTATTACATAAATTCCTTTTACTCATTGGATGAAGCATTATTATAACTTTTATTTTGTTATTTAAAGTGGGTGAATACACATTTAGTACTCAATCACGAAATTGGACATTTACCTTTTCAAAGAGACATAACAGCTAATCTTAAGTTTGGACGGCTGAATAGAATAACCGTAGCCGTGGATAACGTTTTATTAGCAACGACTGTACCACAAGGATCTTTACAAAACATTAGCACGTGAGTATACGATTTTTGCAAAATATCGCGGATAATATAAACTATCTCGTAACACTTAATGTTGCTTACAAACATGTTTTACACCATAGCTGCTGAAAAACACGAAATCTGAACAATAAATTCATAATATTATTAATATACTGTTTAAGTTTATAATAATATTGTGTTACAAAATATTATTATAATATACGTGCTGTGGACCTTGTTCTAATTCCCGAAAAGTTGTGATTCGAACATATTTTAATGCAAGAATACCTATTTTATTTATACCTGTCGCATATGACAATAATTTATGATATTATATTCATTCTAACTTTCCCCGAGCCTCGACGTATCATCATTTAAGAAGTCTTTGTATTATAATTTGTGCGCATCGTTAAACTTCCATGTTATCTATATGCAAATATGCAATTTAATCTCATCAATATCACCCTGCTGCAATGGCCACGACTGTTGCCGTGAGTTTATTTAAAAAATAAGATAATGCAATGACACAAACGACTTGTTTGATATTGTAATTTTTCTCTGTGCTTAGGTATACCCTTGTATTTTAGAAAACAAACAAGAATTGCATACATATTATATTACGATGTTGTGTACACGACGACAAGACGTGCTCATTGCAAAATAATATAAACACAGTCACATAATATAATCTTATAATCTATTATAATATTTTGAAACGCATATCATAACAATAATAATCGTGACTTTATATTATACAGAAATACTGGACCTAAGACCATACAAACGTATACGTTTGACTTCTTCAACTATGCCGGTATACATAGGTCCGTGTTCCTGTACACAACACCTATTTTGTACATCGACGATGTCGACGTGACGACCGATGTCACCGAGGATGGCGTAGGTAAAGTGATTTTTTTGTATTAATAACATATAATATGACTTTGGAGTAAATCGTCATTTCATTTAACACTCGTCAAGTCATAAAAAAATATAGCTAACTTATTCGACGTATATATCTCTGTAGCGTATCAAAGTTAGATCAACTATAGACGAAAAATGGCGACTGTGAATTTTAAAAGTCACTGGTGGGCGGGTGGTATTTATGTAGTGAAATTAAATTATAAGTTATAGATTATAATAACCGTGTGTAAAAACATATAAAACTGTTATAATGAACATTAAAAAATACAACAATAATTAAGTCTAGGGCTTAAAACCGTTCCTGAAATTATAGGCAATCGGCTGAAAATTTTTTGATAACCGATTACCAATTTTCTTGTTCTAAGAAGTGTTGTTAACCAGTTACCGGTTACCTTACACCAGAATAATGTAGTAGCTACCGGTTACCGATTTTTAACGGTTTATGAAATATGTGAATACTAAATAACCGCTTACCGATTTTAAGTTTTAACCGGTTGAAATACCGATTTTCACAAAATGTTTTTTGTTATTACTAATCAATTACAAATTATTTATAATGTGTTTATAATACGGACTAAGATATATCTATACATGGTTTATCTGTATATACTCTTAAGAGGATGTCAGCGCACCATTTGTTTTCTCTATCTGGCCCAAGCGCGCAACATAGACAAAATGCATTTACGAATTATGAATTACTGTATTACGAGAAACGGCCAAATAGGGGAATACCAGTAATATGAAATAATCACTAATCAGCACAGCTATAAATATATTGTTTTTAATATACATCATAAATTCATAAACATATTAGTATTATCCGTATGGCGTAGGTATTGGCGTATGGCGTGTCCCCGGTGTACGTATATTTTGACATTGTGATTGTGTATAATATATAATTATATCATACACTTATAAGTTCAATATAACAGGTAAATATTTTTCTACAAATAAAATATAAACTGAAATAACAATAAATGATTGGTAATTGGAATAAAAAAAATCTTTTCCGCATTATAATGGTAACCGGGTATCGCTAAATGAACGATTTTCAGAAATGTTGATAATTGATTTTTGGTATACGACTTTATAAACTTTTGTTAATCGGTTACCGATATCCGCTTTCCATACTGCAAATAAAACCGTTAAACGGTTTAGGGTTCTTAAAATTTACGGTTCTTAACGGTTTTCGTGAAAAACCGGTAAACGGTTTTAAGCCCTGTAATTAACACGACTTGTCAACAGATAAATCGGTTATAACAAAATTCTATTCCCCCGGATTAATCTGGAATCATATAATTTACGGTTGTTGAATTCCGGGTAGATATAATTGTTGCAAAAAAAGTGAGCCGTTTTTGAGTTAAAATATATTTTATTTTAATAATATGGACTATGTGTACGATATATTCTATTGAAAAATATCTTAGAAATTGTCCGATGATGATGACTACGTCATATTTTTTAGGTATAATTAATTACAACATACAATATGGAGGATCGCTGAGCAGTGGCGAAAAGTTAAATTGTTCAGTAACATTGCTGAACAACGAAAACGTGCGAGAAAAAATCACCGTGATCACCAACGACGAAGAAGGTCTGTCGGGTATTGTAAAAATCGAAAACGCGAAACTGTGGTGGCCGTATTTGATGCACGAAGAACCGGGATATATGTACACGTTGGAGGTATTTACACTTATATATATATTTACAGTATAATCAGTACTCGATATTACAATATAATATAGTATATACTATCATACATCCGTGAAAACGAGCAATAGTATTGTTCGTAATATTCTGTGACAACAATACGATTTTGAGTTTTTCCCGATAAAATCACTTGACGATTTTTCAATGCATTGATAATAATCATTGCAATTCTGAGTTATTCGTACGCGCCGTTGTACGGGCGTACATCCTCGTATATAGTTACTGTCGCGAACTCGCGACACAGACGTAATATAAATGATGACATGTTTTGTTTGAACCGAATATTGTAGATCCGGCTTTCGACCACTTGGAATGTGGACGACGTATACCGATTACCGGTCGGCATCAGGACGATCAAGTGGACGAATACGGCGTTCCTCATCAACAGCAAACCGGCGTACTTGAGAGGGTTTGGGCGACACGAAGATTCAGATGTAATATATTATCGTAGTTGTCACTCGTCACGTTTTCGTGTAGTCGCAGACCGGCGAAACTAATTCTGAGGACTGTCGTGTTGAATTATGTAGATACGAGGGAAAGGAATGGACTACGCGCTGGTGACCAGGGACTACGACCTCATCAAGTGGATCGGAGCGAATTCTTACCGGACGTCGCACTACCCGTACGCTGAAGAAATCATGGACTTTGCCGACAGACATGGCATAATGATCGTAGACGAATGTCCCAGTGTTGACACCGAGTGAGGAAATCATAATTATTACGGGCCACGGTGTGCAGAGTGTGCCTAAAATTCAATAATTTCAGTTTACTGCTATGAAAATGTCCGGTATAATTAATATGTGGCCCGATGTGCGATATGCACTGGTTTTGTAAGAAATTAATACACAGACATAAATAATTAGCTTTTTACAAAAATGTGCGACCAAGAGTTGAAGAGTAAAAAATTTTAGCTTTTTGAAAAACAGATTTTGGGTGTATCACGAGATAATAGGCGCGTGAATACACCTGCTTCGTGTCTACAACTCTTCACTCGCACAACATAACTATATATAGTAAATACTTATAACTTATATAGTAAATATTTTAATTTGGCTATTTAGCAGCAATTACCTACTTACATTATTGCGCTTGCAATTCTAATTATAGCAGGCTTCCACTTTTTCGACTTTGAATAGCAGTTAATTTAAATTGGGTCGATTAACAATAATAATATATAGCGCCTTATTAAATGTACGATAATAACTTTATCCTAAAATATTAAATTTACCAATAATTGTTATGTACACATTTTCAGTAATTTTTCTGATAAACTATTGAAGAAACATACTACGAGCTTAGCGGAACTAATCAAGAGGGACAAAAATAGACCTAGTGTGGTCATGTGGTCCATTGCAAACGAGCCACGATCGGATCACAAAGACGCCGATTCGTATTTCAAGTGAGCGTTGTCCTTTTTCTAGACAGATAATAGACAACACAGTTTACACAAAAGATACTGTGATGGTGTACACTTTTCACATTTTATTGGATCGCATTGATGTAAATCATAAAATACACAACCCTAGTATAAGGAATAAGTAATAATTATTCCTTATTCTATGACTCCAACCACGTTTAATAAACACATGCACACAATCACACGTCATCCATGCGTCGATATAAGCCAAATTATTCGGTTAATAACGAAATTACAATAAAACCATTTTGTACCGTGGCACAAGCACTTTTCTATTTTATAATCAATGATATTGGACTTGTCTTGAAAAGTATTAATGATTTTATAATATTTCATTCAATTTGAAGTCATTATAAAACATCATCTAAAAAAATAAACTTTTTAAGTTAGAATTTTAGCCAGCTTTTAATTTTTGAATTACGTCATGTGATTTAAAGTTGCCCATCCAAAACATAATATTTGGATGGATACAAATCAGATTTTAAACGAGTAGTTGATTAGTTATAACTTATAACTTATAAGTATTGGTGATCTGAGTTGATGACACAGGTTTTGGTCTTCTACTCCACCCATCGAAATTTTAATTACTTAGGTATATGAGGTAAAAGTTATGTCTAATTAACTGCTTGTTCGAAATTTGATTGTGATGCAATGAAATTCTTAGAAACATAATATATTCTACCTTGGTATATAAAAATGGATACTGTGATTCAAAAAAGAAAAAAAAAATTATAACGAAAAAACATTTTGTATTGTATAGCGACTTAAAATTATTTTCAAAGGTTAGGTTGTAAAATACATATTCATCGAGATAATAAGTGTTACTGTGAAAAATTAAAAATAATTACACAGTATACTCGTATATTCATAATTCGTATTATATTATAATTAATTATAATAGTTTTCAAATAATCTGACGTTGTGTTCGAGCTTATACAATTTATTACAACAATATTGTTTTACAATTATTGGATGATTAGAACATTTTAATCGAAAATCTCATGTTTACTTTCCGAGGAAAATTTGTATTATTATTTTGTTATCGATATAGGTACGTCGTGTAATTTGTCAAATCTAAGGATAGGACACGTCCAGTTACTGCCGCTCTGAACAAATGGTACAGCATTGACAGGGCGGTAAGTATTTATAATTATTAACTATCATTATGCTATGAACACAAATATATGTTTATGGTATTGTGGTCAATATTATTGCAAAAGAGTATTCAACTTTGTACTTGTGCTTTAATTTTATCTTAGCTTCTTTTTAATTTTACTACTATTATACGTCGCTGTAACATAATATTTTAACGGTACTATAGCTTTTAAAATGGATACCTTAAAATACACTCCATCTAGATAAATAATTGTAGTTTCACAACACATTACACACAACACATTTCTAACACTGCACACAATGTACCTTATGAGCAGTGGTGTTTTTGAGGGTATACGAGGGGTATGAAGCGTATGCCCATTTACCATTTGGTGAATAATTATCGTATAGCCGGTAAAAATAATGCAAATCCTCACGTGTACGCTCGTATACCTCAATATTCTTAAAAATGAAGCAATTCGTATTGTGTGTTAATATTTGTTTCATATGACACTTATTAATCATACAGGTATATTTTGGAACCGTGTAATAAATAATTGAGATTGGGTATGTAATATTCTGTAAAAGCTTTGCAAAATATTTGTTTGGGAGCGAAGAGGGCTGCTTTTTAAAGACTTAAATCTGATTAGTTTTGCTCTCATAAAATCTCAATATTTATTGTATATTTGCATCATTGTTTTAAATTCATAAATGAGCGTATACGGCGTATAGGTTATAGTTTTTTTTTTCTACGAAAACACCACTGTGGCTATAAGGTATATCAGTTATTATGGCTGTAAACTTACTTCTTGTCTACTGTCTTATATGAGTTCTTGTGTATATGTACCTTTGTTTATAGATCTGTAGCTAATTTTGTCAAAACCTTAGACGGTTTGCGGCCCATAACAGCAGCTATTGCGACACAACTCGATACTGACCAACTGGTGAGTGGAAACACTATGGTCAAAAATTCTTCGTGCAATCTATTCTTTTATGCTTAAAAATCAAAAAAATATATAACGCCTTCGTTTCGATAAGCGTGTTGTCGTCATGATTTCTAGCGTCTAACAGCAGTTATTTACAGGGTCAGCATTTAGACATCATCGGCTTCAATAGGTACAATGGCTGGTACTCATTACCCGGTCACACGGAGATCATCAAGAGCCGGATAGAAGACGAAGCAGCCAAATGGCACGCCAAACACAACAAGCCGGTTTTCATGACAGAATACGGTGCTGACACGTATGCCGGTTTGCATATGGTAAGTCGAAAGTCGTGATTCATAAGTATAACATAATATTATTCAATCATATTCATCTAGTAAAATAATTTTCTTACAATATTATACACGTGGTCGTTTTGATTTGTGTTCATAGGCTCCTTCGTTCGTTTGGTCTGAAGAATATCAGGTAGAGCTGATGTCCGAACATTTCAAAGCGTTCGACGTGCTCCGAAGTAAAAACTTCTTCATAGGTGAAATGATATGGAATTTCGCGGACTTTAAAACCGAGCAAAGTAAGTTAATTGATACTTTCATGTCAACTCCAGACAGTCTGTAAACTATGGTAAAACATTCTTGATTTACTATAATACTGTCTGCCTACTTATCAATCGTTTGGAGTTTAGAGTAGACAGTGTTCTGTTTTTAGTTTCTACAGGTCAACGATTTAAGCATACTAATGATAAGTAACTAGATCCATAATAATCCAAGTATATACATTTTGATATTTGATTGTAAAGAGGATTATTAGGATTAATAGTGTTATGTAGAATACAGATGCAGTATGCGCATGGGTATAGATAAGGAAATTACTGTTCCAAACATTTTAATTGGATACATTTAATTTAATATATTTTGTACTTTTAATTTTTGTTCCATGTGAGTAGATAAATGCATAGGTTAATTGAAAAAGTAAATAGTGAGTTGATTCTGACGATACTGCAGATATTGAATGTTAGGGTTTAACTATATTTGTTTTATAGATATTATTAAAACATTGACTGGACAAATATGACGATGTATAATTGTATAGTTCAACAACTATAGTTGCTCCTGCATAAAATACACATATAAGTATTATAAAAACTGTTTTTTTTCAGCTGTCACAAGGGTAGGAGGGAACAAGAAAGGTATTTTTACACGACAGCGAGAGCCTAAATCGTCGGCGCATCATCTGAGAAAAAGGTACTGGTCATTGGCCAATCATTTGGACGGTGCACAATTACCTTGCAACCTTCAATCTTACGTGATAGATGGTCAAAATAATGTTGAACTTTAAAATTTAAATATAATATAATGGTAATAATTGTCGACTGTGATTTAACATATTATATATAACAGTCTTCCTAAAAATATGAAAAATATGGAGATATATAAGTAAGCATTAGCATACTATACTATTTCTGTTTGTGTATTTATTAATAATATTATAATTCATAATTATATAATATAAATTAATATAGTTGTTCGTATCGGATATACCAAGAATATTATGAATTTCTATGTAAGCTGATTTATTTAAATAAGAAAAATTGGGTTGCATTTTAATGGCTTATGGCGAAGTTACTATTATTTAAAATGTAAGACTATATTTAGTCAATTACCTAATACCTATATACAAACAATATAATGTTTTACATGTTACAATTATTAATTACATAACTTTTCATCTAATGTACCTTGTGTAATTTATTTTTAAATGATTTTAGTAGTATAGTTTTAAAAAAAATTGGATTCAATATAAACTAAGTAGGTACCTTGGTACCTATATAATGCTGTGTTTTGTATAGGTACCTGATAGAAAAAAAACAATAACTTATTTTATGGATAATATTTTTACTTATATTTTATATATTATGCTTTTTGTTGTATAAAAATGCTTAAGATGTTTTGCTTTCGAATTTAAAAGTCCAACTTTTAATTTCATACTTATATATATATATATTTGTTAAGTTTTAATTATTTTAATACCCATTTGAAAACAAACTTCTCTTGCTATTGTATATGTAAATTGTATTTATACTAATAAATGTGTGTAAACGTTTTTTTTTCAAAAATAGTTGGATAATTTCTTCGATTTAAAAATATGAATGAATAATTACATATGGTCATATACGGCTATATGGATAGCAAGATCTGTGGTCTGTGTTCATGATGATATTACTGTAAATTGTAATAGTGTGATTCGGTGATAAACATTTGGTCTTTTTTATTCAGTCATTTATTGGAAGTTGGAACGATATATATTATAAAAGAACATAACGACAGTAAGTTCACTTAATATTATGATGTTTAAAATATTGAATAAATAATTGACGCATTAAACACGATTGCTGTAGACTGTATAGTTGTGACAATAATGTATGTATATTTTGTACCTAAACATAATATTATTAAAACTGCAATTGTACTTATCTCAATGGCATCAACAAAACGCTTGTATTTATGGCTATCGATTTAGGTCGTGTACCAAGCGTCAATAGTCAAGACACAAATTCCTATAAGGTCCAATCGTTTTTTAAGAATTTGTATCTACCTGAGTTTTAGTGAGTGGAATGGCGGTGGCTACTAGTAGCATGCTTTCTCGTTTTTACTTCACTAAAGTACAATGAGTTTTTAAATGGTATAATGCTTAACGTATTCAGAATTTTCGAGTTCAAGCTAATTTGTTTTGTTCTCCCTCCCAATCTTGGTAAATTTCAATTTTTCACCGTAAAAACCAATTTTAAACATCTTGTGTAATTGAATAGGATATAAAATTCGACAAACAAAAATAAGCACATTTCATCATCAAAGAACACTACGACCTGCAATAGCCTAAGGACACAGTGTTTTTGAGTAATAACCTAACCTCAGAATCTAAAGTTATAGGAAAATGAGTTATGTAGTCATGTAGAATGTAGTTGTTAGGCCCAATCTAACATAATAATGATAAATAATCTTAATGACTATTCAATATATTGCTTGTAAAAGTTACTACCTACCAATTACCATCAATGAGTACTGATATTATTATTTTATCATCTATATTATAATATGGTAGTCTTGTACTGGTGGATCATACTAAGGGTCATATTATTATTATTATTGAGCATCACGAGCTAAAATTCTTTTTTATCTCATTATATTTATTTGTTCATCATTTATTACAATATTGTTGAACAGCAACCATAGTACCTATTTGAAGCGTTTCAGAGTGTTAATAACGACCATCACAGGCCGCTGTAAATAAAAAAACCTAAAAGCGTACATTATTATAATTATATAATATACAAGAAGACTTTATAAACAAAAATCTATATGTTCTTATGTACAAATGGTGTACGGAAATAACAAAACTGTTTTTTTTCGAATATAGAGTACGACTGTAACGAACGAAATATAAACATGTGATTTTTAAAATATTAATTTGCTATACATACATACCAAGTATATCTTATTAATAGGTGCAAACTGACATTGATTATATAGTATTATTATTATTCATTACATATATATATTATATACTTATGAGAAGAAATTTCTTACTCTTCGCTATTGAAACATTTTACGATTTTTACTTTCGAAGTTTATGTTTAGCTATTTTGTTTTCGTGATTTTTTACATACTCATTTTAGAATCTAGGGGATTTAAAAATAAAAATATAGTTTTATTTAATTTACAGTATTATTATTTATGATATCGAATTTATTACAATATGTAACATTTTAGATTTTAAATCACAAAACTGATCGACAACCTGATCGACAGCCTGATCACAATACTAGCAAAGTATAAAGTGACTTCAACTTTGGCTTAGTATATCCAGATATCCTTACATCATTCATCAGCTACTCTAAACGATAAAATGCTCAGTGTTGCTTAATACTTATTATATGCTTCATGGACAATTAAGATTCTCTTCTTTTAATGGTGAAAGTTGAAATCTCAACTAGGATGTGTACCTATAGTTCGTTAGCCCGATTGGTTCTAAAGTTTTTTCTCTCGCGAAATGGTTCGTAACAAATTAAACACATGTAGTGGCGTCCTTAACTAATACTTTGTACATTTTTTTATTTATAGCTGTGGTTTTGATTTCAACTTAATTTTATATGATGCTATTAAAATCAAGTTTTTAACCAGTTTTGAGGTCTTGTTGGAGTACAATTAATAATATATTTTAAAACGTGTTATACTGTTATTTAATATTTTCAATTTTGCATAATAAACAAACAGTCGTAACAGTTTCGAACAATATAAATAGTATTATGTACCTATGTTTTCATACATTTTCGTTACTGCATACTCCGACGCAATCTCTTAGTCACTAACATCATCATCGATTGCGTGTTTTACGTCATCGCTCATACAAACAACGACCGCTAGACAACGCTTCATACTACATAATACTCTTGGGATCAATAATAACACATTAAATTATTGTAAAATAATAGTATTATGTTGTAAGGTGTTATTAATAATATTTATTGTTTAGCTGTTTCTAGAAAAAAAAATTGAAGTTGGCGGAATCCATTGTTTGGGTGAGTCGTTTGTTGTGGATGTGAAATATGAGGTATCTGAGTCGTCGATTTATCTGGTGTAGACCTAATCGCCTAGATAACGGTCATTCCAAGTAAGTGTGAGTGATATACTGATATGTAGATTAGTGTGATGGTGGGTTTGTCTTTAGGTCTAGAAAAAATATTGATTTTGTTATATGTATTTTGATCCCCCTGTCCTTGTATCATATTGTTGTAGATCCAAGTTAGCTAGGATTATGTTTGAATCTATTTCAGGATCACCATGTGAAGGGTCAAGATGTCTTTATCATGTGCATAGTCACTGAGGTAGTGAGGGGAATTGTGTTTATTACTTTTAAAGTCTTGAATAAAAAAAATCCCAGTGACTTACTCCAGATTATAAGTCATACTAAACGAAGGTTGGATAACTTTAAAAATAAATAATAGACAAACTCACTAGTTATGTAATTCGCATTGCAATATGTGTCTAAAATCAATATAATATGTTATAACTTATAATGTAATACTTATAATACATGTATATTATTATAGGTAAACGATACCTAAATATAATTCTGCATAGGCAATATTTATTATGAAGTTGTTCAATAGTCGTTACACACGTCACACAGTCGATGGAAATCTATACACCTAATATATAAATTTTTTTTTATTGAACATTATTAATTATATGTGCTCTCTACAGCCTATATTTATTATACTATTCTTATTAAATACCAAAGAACACTTTAAATATTTTCAATGTTCTGAAATAAACTTTTTCTCATCAATATAGGAAAAGCTACAAATAATGATAATATGATGTACCTATTCAAATAATAGCCTTTACAAATTTTTGACCCTGAAATAAAATACATACTTTAGATCATATATTATTGTGTTAGTGAGTAATGTACGAGGTGCCTAATGTAAAATTAGGAAATGTTTCTTGTAAACTTTATAATAACCTGCAATGCCCAATGGGTTATACAACAATTGTAACGAAATATAAATAGGTTAAACTATAATAAGTTATAATATTGTAGAGTATAAATACCTAATTCAATTTATTACTATTTAAAATCTCGATTTCGATTAGTTCATTGTTAGATACAAGAATCCAACGATACGAAATGATGTCAATAGTTGATATCCAAATAAGTGCAATTGGATTTTTACAATACTAAAACGCTATTATAATATATTATCACCATTTTAACATGTTAGAGATGTATTTGTCAGCATGGGTGTGGGAGTCTACGTGTTTTTTTTTGTACAAAAACTTACCACATGGCTCACGGGATAAGTGACCATATTTTTATATTTGTTTTATTGTTTTTTTTTTCCATTATTTTATGTAGGCATTGTTCGTTTTTAGATTTTGAAAACCTAGAATTTTGAAAAGTTGTAGTAAATTATGAATGTACTTATAATCACATGTTTTTGAGTATTTTTAAGTACATATTTCTGACATTGTTTAAATTCAACTCAAAAATCTGAATCCATTGCGACCTAATGAATTAAGTTTTTCTCTTAAAAATAAAAAAAAAGTATCGAAATCCGATTATTCTACAGATGCATAAGCGTTTTTCCAATAAAGTTGTTTTTGATCGATGAGATGATTTGATTGTACTTTTTCCGTGCTATATGTTGTACGGCCAACGCGCAAAGCAACTAAAAATTGCCTACATAACCCCTTAATTATTATCCACTTCCAACATCGCATGAAGTATAGCTAGATTTATTTTTATTGTTTGATAAATGAGTCAATTGAAAAACATAAATCGTTCATAAATAATAATCACACGTAGATTTGACAATTTAACATTAATATTTTTAGACGAGTTATTGTATTATATAATATAAAATATTAATAACCATATAATTATTAAAATAAAAAACACGTAGGTACCTACTACTGCACTGGTTACTATATAGACACCTACCTATTATTTAAGTATCTAATTTTGTATTGAAAAAACTGTCTAGTGAGACGGATGAGTTGGGTGTGCCTCAACGGGGGCGACGGGTGTATTTAAATATAAAAGCGTTGATAAATCATTGAAAAACGATTTTTAGTTTAATGTAGCGTGTTCACAGGACGTATTTCTAAATTAGTTGATAATAATAATTAACATGACACGAACTAACAAAGTATTAGAAATTCAAGCGTCAAATTAAATATATTTTTTACAGCAAAAACAACAAATTCTATTAACATTTTTAAATATATCTAAAAATGACCTCACCGTCATAAATGGTAAAATGGGCATTTTAGGAGGGATTGTAAATTTGTATATACACGTACATAAATGATGGATAATAAATACCTATATATCTACAGGGGGTAACAGAAAGAACTGACTATTGCAATAACTTTTGTTGTAATCAATAATTACAATTTTTTTTTTAATAATTTAATTTATGAACATTTGCTCTATATATTCATACTTTATAGTAAAAAAAAGCGTCACGAGCCTGGCTTACTCAACACTAAGGGTCCAATCAGACGATCGGATTTTGCCGGCCGGTTTCTGCCATCCGGTTTTTTTTATATA